TTTATATATATAGATATTTATTTTTTAATATAGAAAAATAATAATACTACATACTTTGGTTCATCATAATATTCAATATTCAAAAATTTATTGTCGTATAATGCCATTATTATTTATAACACTTATAGAAGCAATTTTATTTTTTATCTAATAAATATTTTATTAATATTATTTATTGAAATTTAATGTTTATTAGAAATATGATTATATGAAAGGTAAAAGAAAATGAAATGAATGAAACCTTAATTGAATAAACCCATCATTTAAGGGAGCATTTAATGTCGCTTGATATTATGGTAAATAAAATTTAAATAATTTCCCAAAATGACATGTAATTTTGATTTTGGCGATTTTTTTTGTTACTATTTTTGGTAAATATGTTCTCTTTTTATATATATAGATAGTAACAATGGTTTAGTAGTAATTAGCTATTAACTAATGCATATAGTAAATAAATATTTAATTCAAATACATTATTAAATATTACAAGTAATTATTTTTTCTAAAAATAATATAATTGCATTATCCTATGAATACATAATTAGGTTGTTATAATTAAATTTTATTCTTATTAAATAATTTCATACAATTACATTTAACTAATATATATAATATAATATTTAAAAGTATTAAAAAATCAATATAATAATTATTCATAACCACATAATTAATATAATTCCAATTTTTTATTATATAATTATACAAACTGATTAATTAAAATTATACAATTTTTTGATCTTATATTAGAATACTAATTATAATTTTTAAACGAATAATTACTCAACAAACTATTTTTATTACATTTATTACAACTAATTCGTTTCCTGAAAATACTAACGTTAGATGCATTATACTATTAGTAGTTAGTATTATTAAAAAATATGATTAATATAATTTTAATATAATTGCATTTAACTAAATATATAATATATTACTTATAAGTAACTTATTATTAATAACTATTGAACTAAAATTTATATAAATTAACCTAAATCAAAAGATTAACTAAATTATATTTTTAAATATTTAAACACGTTAAAATGGTTTCAATTATTAAAAAAATATAAAAAAAACTTCGCCAACGGTCGACCGACAAAGCGGCGCGGTTCGACGACCATGCAGAAATATCGACCGATGGCCCTGCAACTGGCCATCGATCAAAATTGAACTGCATGGACTCTGGGTGGCCGCGATCGCGGCCGACCGGCGTCCAAAAACTTCAAAGATTTTAAGAAATAATTACCAAAGGAAAAAAAAACATATCGGAGGAATCATTGGACCTTTCCCTTTGTTTTGGATACAATTATTTTGAAACTAGTAAAACGCCCGTGTATTACACGGGTACTTGCTAATTTTTTCTTAAAATCTAAAATTAATGAGAAAAAGTAATTGAAAATTTCAATATCTTTTATAAAAATATATATATTATTATATATTTAGTATGCCACTTTTTTATTTGTGCGACTTACTTGTGTTATATTATAATATTTTTTTGACTTACAACATATGACTACATTAAACATAAATATATCAGTTGAGTAATAATTTTATTTTTCTAATGAATTTTAATAAATAATATTATTTTTTCATTATTATAAAGATAAATATAATTTATTTATTTTATATATACAATATGAATATCAAATCGAAAATCATCAAAAGATGATTAAGTTGATATATTATATATGTAAACCGATAAGAAATATAAAATTATCAACTTTTAAAATACATTTACAAGTCAATAGCTAATTGAAGAAAACAATATTATTTGTCCAAACCTAATTACGAAGCATAATTCTTCGCCAAGTAGAATTCCGAAGCACCAGAAACAGCCACGTAAATTCTGCGCATCCGAAAATAATATATAGGGAGAAAGGATAGTTAAAATATGACAGAGGTATAATACGATAAGTAGTAAAAAAGGGAAGGGTATTTAGCGACAAAAAAAAAAAAGTTGTGAGCGAGTAACCCGACCCGGATCCAGCATAACTATCGTCATATTTTATTATTTTCCGCTATCCCAAATTCCCCATCTCAATTTCTCATAAGCCAAAATTATTGGGAGATTCTCCAAATATCCGTTTGAAAAAACAGCAGATGACGGAGGATCTCGAAGTTCTGGTTTGATGACCAATCCACGCTACAGCAGGCGATGGAAGATTTCTAGTGGTATGTACAAATAAATTCTTTAAGGAACAAGTTTGCTTTATGGTGATGAATTTTGATTGCTATGGTGTTCATATTAGTCGGTACTGTGATGCAACTAACAGATTCGAGAAGTCTATAACTAGAATTTTAGATTGAGAGCTGTTGATTTAGTGAAAGATTAGGTTTGCGCTACCACTACAATGAAAAGAAGATAGTCTTTTGCTCAAGAGAATATGGAAAACCTGTGGTAAATGATTTTTCAGAGTGCAAGATTTTCGGTTTATTTGAATAGGTTTGGGTAATGGGTTCTAATTCTCGAAAGGGATGATACTCGAACGGGTGTGTGTAAATGTTGAAATATGATATTTAGAACTTGAGTGAGATAATGCAAGAGGGAACTGATGGAAGGAAACATTTGCTTTATGGTTACACTTACATGTATTTGGCCAATATTTTAGCTCTCGTTTTAGAGATCTTCACATCATCGACTAGGTATGTAAGCGAATAGATTAGAGAAAAGGAAGTGTGGATGCTTGTAATGATTATCATAAACTTGACTAAGCCTTAATCCAGTGTTACCGAATTTTTCTTGAATTGTTTGATACTGCTTTCTCTCCGTGTGTGATTCCCATTTTTCATGCTACGAAGTTGTGGTTCAAAACTTGTTCAATTGCATAAGCGTTTGACCTAGGTTTTTAAATGTGATGAACTGATTCGAAATAACAATTGTATGATCATCTTTATGTTTGTGTCTCAAGTAATTACTTGTGTGCAGAATCAAACATTTTTAAGTAATTTGGTGGTTAAGCCGTTATGGTGATGTGATAGAAAAGACCTTTTCTTTCCATGATAAAACAATTGAAATTTGAAACAACCAAAAAGTAAAAAGAAAAAAAGAAAAGAAGTGAAATAATAAAAATGCATGAGTACAATGTATTGGAAAGAGAATATTTGTTGGTGTGAAAAGCACTACGGAGCATGGGGAGAAGGAGACGAGAAAATTGGAAAACCTGAAGAATGCGTTAGAATAAAGGGTATGCATAAGTAAAATAGAAGACAAGATGGATAATGTGTTGCAAACGATAACGAAAATCTCAGTGCTGAATACGGAGTGTCTAATAATATACATTCGTCATGTAAAATTTTTACTTGATGTTGTATCCTATGATCATATCAGCTGGAAGAATTTCTGAATGTATTGAACTATTAGTTTATTATCTGTCTCATGAGGAATAGGTTCTGGTCATGTTAGCCATGGTCTTCTAACTATGTCTTAAAAGTGAATATTGAGCTTCTTTTAACACTGTTGTCCTCGACAGTAATTGTATCGTGTATTTTCACAACTGTACATAAATGATTGAAATAAATTATAGAATTGTTTATTGTGGGAGTTCTTGAATAACATTAATTCAAGACAAGAGGGCAAATGTTTTAATAATAAAAAAATACTTATATTATAGTTTGACTGTAATTGTACCTTAATTGTCGAAGTATCAACATAAGGTAGTAAAAGATTATATAAATTTTGACTTTGCCTTGTAATAAAAGGACATGCACTTATATGGAGGGTGTATGTAATTATATTTGTCTTTACCAATCTCACAGAATTTTCATTAATGCTTTGGAAAAGGAACTGTGAATTTAAGATGAATTCAAGGGATATGATTGTAAATATTTTATAGTGAGTTTGCTTATATAAACCTTCATTACTTTCTTACCATGTGATGACTAATGAGTTCTACATATTTTTAAAATTCAGTAGATACAATCAATATAAAATTTCTGATATTGAAAATCTTGTTTCAAATTCGCAGAGCAGAGAAGGTTTACTGAAGTATTATATTGCTCTTGGTTCAAAATCTAATGCAGCTTGACAATAACTACAATGATTAGCCTTAATATATCTTATTCGCAACATTTATCTCCAACATCACAAAATTATATAATGGTTACAATTTTTATTTTGGTGTTGGATATAGAACTCCATAAGAGTTGTATGTCGACCCAATTAAATACCTAATCTCCCTTCAACTTTGAACTTATTCATCTAGCCTAAAGAAGAAAAGGAAATCGTTTCATTAAAACACATGACATGTTTGTTAATGGGAACGATCTTGCGGATTGAATTGATTATTTCTTTTTCATTAAAAAGCAATATGATATCAATTTGCGATGATTTTGGTTTTGAACCAAGTCTGCAGAATTAAGTAGTTCTGTACTTTTAAGTAGGTTAGAAATTATAATAATATTTCAATAACAGTTCAGATTATTTGCAATTAAAATAGAGCAATACGAATTGAATGGTTGAAGTTTCCAAAAGATGTATCTGCGTAACTGTGGTAAGAAATTATAACAATCACAATAAATCGAAATCTACCTTTCAAATAGTAATAATTAGATTTGGCATTTGACTGGATGTAGTACAATTCATTCAATATTTCTTATTGTCAGCATCTCGTATGTGTGTATAAGTATGTGCCCCGTCCTGTAAGAAGGCCTCATCCCTTGTCCTCTTCCTTGTGCATTTGGCCTCGTCGTTGCACAATTTTCTCTTGTATCTATTTCCTTTTCCTTTATTTTCCTAAATCTTTCCTTGTGTGTTCCTTGGTATTCAATCTTGTCCTGTCATGGCCCGATCATGGGATGAATTAAGAGCTGATCACAAACTTGTCTTTTTGCTTGAAAGCTTAGTCCAAAAGCAAGAACAACAGACACCAATTGCCTGTCGTTTATGTGATGAAATCTTCTTGGACAACAAATCCCTTCTGAACCACTTTCAATCTCATTTTCATCATGATGGGACTTTCAATCCAAATTCACTCATCAGAAATTTTTTGCTACCGGAAACTGAAATGAAAATATATTCAACTTCTTCCCAAAATGGCCATTCTTTTTTGGTGCCAGCAAATGCTGGTAACCATGCTGCAAATCAAAATTTAGGAATCCCACCTAACCTCTCATTCCGTAATTCTGTGGTTTCAGTACCGCCACAAATTCCTGTGCAGCCTAGAGGGCCCACATTTACTCACAGGTACCACCCATATCAACTGCCATCAAGTTCCCGTTCTGCTGTGGGAATTGGTTTGTCGGGCACGGGTCCTAGTGGCCCTCTGAAAATTTTTCCTACCATAGGGCCTAAAATACCTGATATTTGTACTTCCAATATTATGGAGGGATCAAACACTCGTTTTCCCATGAATCCCTGCACATCTGCTTCACCAGGTCACTCTCGCTTTGTAACAGATGGTAGTTTTGGGTCACGGATTCCGAGTACCTCTCTCGGTAAACATCCCCTACCAGATAAAAAAAACGAGCCTGAGGACCCTTTTGCGCACTATACAAGGCCATACATCATGCAACTAGATAAGCCCATTGAGAAAATGACTGATCATGTTAATGCTGACGATGATAAAAGCCCTGATGAGCTGGATCTGACATTGAAGCTTTGATGATTTGAATTGTATTGCTAATGATATATTAATAAATTGGAATAACCTGTGTCGATTATTTTTATTCTTTTTATTCTGTAAATCCCTGGGTTCAGTTGTTTTCTCATTTATGTTGATATTTAATCGTGTTTTCCACTGGAGAGGATTCTTTTGAAGGTTTTGGATTTTATTTGAGTTTTGGTATAAACATAATAAAGTGATTAATTTGAATAAACTTGTGGAGCGTCTGCCAAGAGGAAATGCAAATAGTTCTCATTTTATCTTTGTTATATTTGCTTATTTGATAATTTGATTGATGCTTATAACCCCCTTGCAAGATCACCATGTTCTTTGTATGCATCTGTTGTCTTTCTTCATAGAGGGACAACTTATGTGGAGCGTGGGCTTTCTTCAAAGGGAATAGTATAATTTCCATCAAATTATGGAGCCTTTTCTCTTTCGTTCTTCTTTTCCTCATTTCTTCAGTAGTCAGATTTCTGGTTATATTAGCGTTAGTATTCATATTACGTTCTTTATTTCTTTTGTCCATTCTAGATCTGTTTTCATTTCTATAGTAAAGGGGTAATTCAACTTACAGCTGCTCGTGCGTTTCTTACTTCCATATTTTTTGTCCGCCAGTTGTTCGTTGAACAGCAGATGGAGAAAGAAAAGCTATTTTAGCACTCTTCATATTGTCAAATCTGGTTTTTCTCAAGGTTGATGTATGATTGAAGTCTGTTTTGGCAAAGAGACACTCTTTTCTATTTTATGTTTCTTTTCCATTTTTGAGGCAAGGCAGTGAGAAATACTTGAAAGTGAATAAATAAAAAAAAATCTTTCTCTCTTTTTTTCTTCTGTTTGACTGAAGTTGCTAGTTTTCTTATGTTTTCATAGGGCGTCACTTATTTTGTTCGAGCATGATCAACTATTTGCGGACATTGATTTTTGGTCTTCTCAAGCAGCAGTAACTATTTGTAGAAATATAAACATGTTTTATCTTTGGTTACCTGAAGTTCTCAAAGATTTGGCTAGTTTCACCACATTATACATGGTTTATAGTTCCGGTTAAATTCAAATTCCCTAAATGCTAAATAATTTAGTTTTAATTTGTAACATGCAGGACCCGTGAAGAATATACAAATTTTTGTCACGTCTCACAATATTAGGTCGCATTGGAGGGCTGTCGGTTGAAAGACGGTATCTATGATATTTCAGTTTATTACCACAATCAAATACAAGTGAGTATATATATATATATAGTGTGAGAACCGTGAGAACCATATTTGATGGTATTTATAATTGTGTATGATGTTATTTTTAACACAAATGGTGCTATTATTTTCACAAATGCTAATATAAATCGTGTTACTATTTTTAATAAAACAAGTTTATGTTAAAAATAGCACTAAAACACAATTAATCATAGCACCACGTACAACTAAAAATAGTGGTTCTCACGCTAAGACTTGGTTCTCATTTGAACCACATCCTATGAGAATGGTTCTCAATGAAATAAATGGAAATAAATCATAACCATTAGATCATCCGATCTAATGGCAAAAAAAAAAGTCAAAATTATATCTACATTAAGGGTATTGTGGTATTTTTGCACACCTAAACAGTAGGCCCATTTGCCACCTCACCCCTCTCTCTCATTCCCTCACTCTCTTTCTCATACACACACACGCCATATCACCCGCAACACACAAAAAACACACGCCACACACAAACAACACACGCACAAAACACACACCACACAGACATCATACACAAAACACACGCCACACACACATCAGACACAAAACACACACACAGAAAATCCTGTTCTTGAGGGCGGCGACGGCGACGTGATTCTTGACGTCGACTCAATCTTTGGCGAGCCGGAGAGGGATTTCGATCTCATTTATGACGCAGGAAACCTCAACTCATTTGTTGGCCAGCTGGAGGAGGCGCACAATCAAATGGCACCGACGATGCCATATATGCCGGTGATTCAGCAGCCAATCATGCAACTGCCATCGGCGGCGACAGAGTTTGAGTTTCATCTTCCTCAAATGCTTTCTCTGCTGACGGTCACTTAGCCGCGTCCACAATACAACTCATTTATCCAGTGGATTCCGCCATCGGAAATTTCTGGTCCGACCGTATTTCTTTTTTAACCAGGCCCTTCTCTCAAAAGGCCCTCCGGACCGGAGACGCCGGCGACTCTGGAGAGTACATGGCTCCATGTTCATATTTCGGCCAAAACCATTGATATCTGGTCACTGCTTGCATTTTTTTCGGCTTTCGGCCATGTTTCTCGCTTGTTCCTCTAGCGACCTGGTGCGACCGGCGATTTCAGTAGAGCATTCATCACATGTGTGTCTGCGGATGGTGTAAAGATGGCCATGGTGAAAGAAAATGTATTTATCGACGGTGAAGCCGTCACTTGGCACGATATGTCGACATATCTCTGTTCCGACGGATTCGTCAATGTAAATCCTGCTAGCGGCGACGACGCGACTGCGAGCAATCCGCTCTGGCAAGATTTGAAAGGCAAAGCGCTTCTTGACGCCGACCAGCCAGCCAGATAATTACGGCGGCGAGCGGGATTTCAGTGGCGACGCCATTGGCAGACATTTTCCGTTCAAGAGTTTCACCGTGGGAGAAGGTAGTGCTCAGCCGTCATTGGCACTTACCCAGACGATTCTGTCCTTGGCATTTTTTCGGTTCTACCGCCATATTTGATTCTGAGCCGGGCACTTCCCGCAACAAACGCCCTAGAGTTGAAACCTACCCGGAGACTCCATTGCTACATGTCCATCTGCCGGCAATCGCCAATCTCCGCCTTGTGGTTAGTTTCTTTTATGCTTTTGGAAACATATTGGAGTTGACCCTCGCCGTACCGGCTGAAAATGGTGCTCTCACTAGAGCACTTGTCAAATATGAATCGCCGGAGGATAGCCTGAAGCTGGCCATGAGCAACACTTTCGGATTTATCGACGGCGAAGCCGTGATCTGGCACCCTACGTCAGATCCCTGTCCGGACTACTATGATTTGTGATCCTTGTGTAGCTCCGCAATTGTTCCTGGTTTTTGTTACTGAATTTCTGTCATTTTTGTTAAT